AATGCTGTTACCTGCCCATGAAGGTGATCCCTATTTTTCTACTTGCATTTTTACATGCTTTCGAACTGCTAGATTGGCAGAAGCTAGGCAAGTAATGGGAGCTCACTCCATTACGCAGCACTAGGGATTTGAACTGCCGACCTTTCTGATCGACAAGCTCAGCATCTTAGCCACTGGGCCACCGCATCCCCTTTATTGGGACTAGATCAGTTTAAATTCCTCTTCAATGCATTGTGGCTTTGTCTGTAGTAATTTTGTTTGTTAGAAATAGTACTTCATTTTCGGTTTGAGCCTTCAAATATTTTAAAATAATTTTTGAAAAATATCTAAGGCATAAAACAATTCGTTTTAGAATCCAGTAGGAATTCCTTCATGCGTATTTATTAGAAAAATGCTTTGTTTCAGATCCTACAATCTGAACAGAACTGTAGCTATTATACTTCCACTTCTGCCTGTTGCTTTAGTTTTTGATTAATCTTAAAGATGTTCAGTTTATGCTAGCTTTTAAAAAGTGTATATTCTCACTTTAGAGCATCAACTTTTGGAATTGGAGCAACATCTTGCACAAACGGAAAAAATGTTAAATTCATTATTGACTCAGTTAGATCCACTTTCAAGCTGGTGAGTCAAATAGATTAAATCATAGCATTTCATTTAAATGTTATGTTGTTTATTTCAGATGTGAAAAGAGATCTGAGACATCATGTTTGTGAACTTAAAATAAGAACAGAATGTCAATATATTACGAATGGCATGTTTCCTCTTATTTTTGGCAATGCTTATTACAACTGATGTTTCACTGAGAGTTTTACCCCTTTTAGGGGTAAAAAGGAATGATAATTAGAATTTAAAGGTGCCATCATTTTTAACCTTTAATCTTTCAAGCACAGAATTTTTTTTATTTTTGAAAAACATATATCGCTATTATATTACTGAGGTAATTTACAACTTATAACAATTATGCCATTAAATAAAGAAAAAATAAATAAAAATACTGTGTATCAAGTATGCTTTATTTTTTTTTGCTATACCTATGTCTTGAAGTACAAGTATGTAAAATATCTATAGTTGCTTATGCCTGCTTTAAAGTAAACATAGCTCGATTCTGTTTCTGCATTATCAAAATAACCACAGATTTGTATTTTAGAACTTTGCAGAAGTGGCTTTTTAATATAATTAAAATCATGTGGTGACTGACAAATTGAAGGAATTTCCAGTACTTTTAAAAAGTTATACTGATATTATTCAACAATTCCATTTAAAAAGTAATTAGATTTTAAGTTTATAAGCTGGTTTGGATATAGTATTAATCTGTGTTTTAGTACCGTATTTTCCGGCGTATAAGACGACTGGGCGTATAAGACGACCCCCGACTTTTCCTGTTAAAATATAGGGTTTGGGCTATACTCACCGTATAAGACTACCCCTCTTCCAACGCACACCAAATAAAAATTAAAAACCATCAACTGGCTCACCCGCAGCTGTGCTAGACCCAAAATGGCCCCTGCAACAAGCAGGAACCTCACACAGCCACAAAAAGCCCAAAAAAACCAACTTTCACACTTTACACACACACAACACAACACAACACAACTGGCTCACCCACAATGTAAAAGCAGCTGTGCTAGACCCAAAATGGCCCCTTCAACAAGCAGGAACCTCACACAGCCACAAAAAGCCCAAAAAACCAACTTTCACACTTTACACATACAAAATTCCACATACAGCTTTGTGAGATTTTGTGTGTTTGTGTAGTTAGAGTAAAACACTACAGAAACACACTAAATCTCAGAAAGCTGCACAAATATTTTTATTTTTATATGAAAGCTAAATTTAAAACTTCCTAAACTTTAAATGGCTAGGTCTAAAAAAGAACAACTTAAAAAAAAACCCAATTAACTATTTTTTTTAAAGATCCCAAAGGGGAAAAAAACTTACCCAATAGAACAGGGGTCTCCAACCTTGGTAACTTTAAGATTTGTAGACTTCAACTCCCAGAATTCCTCAGCCAGCAAAACAAAGCTGGCTGTGGAATTCTGGGAGTTGAAGTCCACAACTCCTGCCTGCTTGATTGCAGGCAGGGAGTGGCTTGCTGATGGAATGGATTCAGGCAAGCGAAGCAAGGCAAGTGTTGCGATTAGCAGCTAAGATAAGCAAGCTGGAGGGGGAAAACTTTTTTCTTTTACAGGGCTCTGGCATCCCAGCTGAGTTGCCTGATTAGCAGGCAAAGCTGGGATCGCCAGAGCTTGGATCGCCAGAGCCATTTAAGGCTCGTCAGAGTCTTTCGGACTGGTCTGCCTGGTTACAGGAGAACGACACCCGGCGTATAAGACGACCCCCGACTTTTGAGAAGATTTTCATGTGTTAAAAAGTCGTCTTATACGCCGGAAAATACGGTACTATATGTAAAAAATCTGGAATAGTTTTAATACAGTGAACAGAAATATAATCAATTTTATGTTAGCTTGGTTTTCACCTAATACTGTGTGGGGCTGATTAGAAATGAACAACGTAAATGTAGTTTGAAATTTAGTTTCATTTAAGTAAAATATAGGTAATGTGGTTGATTTAAATTTACTAATAATATAAATGAATTCAATATTATTTTAATAGAATTGTAATTATTTTTTGTCCTGATTAATTCTGATCCAGCTTTTTGGCTTTTCAGTATTAATACTTTGGCTTCTGATCAGAAAAATGAAATTATGGAACAACTAGAGTCCATTAGAAAGATGATGAAAGAAAGTGGATTAGACAAATCGGCTATGAAGCCAGAAGGTACTTTTGGAGGATTTTAATGCTCTCTAATAAATTACTACTAGATATTTTGATTATTTTTTAAGCAGGTTTTCCTACTCTAACAAATATTGCAATAATCTGCATGTTCTTTTGCGCATATGAATTGGCTTGTTCCATTTGATCTATTCTAAAGTTCCAAGCAAGGCCAGAGTTCTCATTGTTTCTTGCCCCTTAATTACCATATTATATATGACCTATTAACTGACCTATTAACTCGCTTTTAGAACAAACTGCAACAACTTGCTTTATGATTTAATAGATAACATAAAAATTGGTTTAATTGCAAAAATAGTAACCTAATTGTAATGTTGTATTCCAATTTCCTTTTATGTATATTAAGATATTAGCCACCATACATGCCAAGAGAAGCTTGAAGATCTAATAGAGTCATTCAGCAATCATCCAGAAGTAAAAATAGATGAGGATATTTATGAAAAATGTGAGCATGATGCCTTATTTGAAGATATGGAAGAGTCTTATGGTATAAAAAAGTATCAGCGTTTTGATCATGAATATTTACTCAGCACAATGGAAGAACCAAAGAAGATGGAAGTAACTAATCGAGATATAACAGAATTAGATACTGGGTTAAGAAGACGTCTTAGGAATGAATGAACGAACTGTAATGAATATTGGACATACTATACAATACACTTTAAAATTTGTAAATATATTCACAATAACTGCTGTATATTTTAAAATGATATATTTATTAACATTTCCTATTTATTCAGAATAAAATAATTTCTGCATATACTGCACAGAAAATTCTATCCAGTATCATAATTGCACAGTTTCATTTTTAAAGTTATTGTGGGCATGGACATAAAAGATATTGTAAGTTTGTGTTATGTGGCTCTGCAGAAATTATTCGCAAGAAATATGGAATGTACTGGTATTAATTATTTAGTTTCTTGACATTTCAGTGTAACTTTAATATGGATTCTGATATTCTTTTTTTGAAACAGTGGAAATAGGTATATTTCTTTGAGACAAGCTACGTATGTTTGAGACAAGCTACCTACCTTTCATTAAATATCAATAACCTTTAGATTTTATTTGTAACTGATTAGTATTGAAAATTAAAATGAAGCAGTTAAATTCAATGCATGTATGATAGCTAATTATATGATGAATTGCCAACCACATTACCCTGATTCTACTTTTGTGCTTAATTTAGTAAGGTGTTTTGCTATCATTTAATCTGATTTTTGCAGGCTATTGATGCAAATTTGACGTTGTTTTGCAGTTCCAAAATCCTCATAGATGATTGACTGACTGACTGACTGACTGACTGACTGACTGACTGACTGTCTATCTATCTATCTATCTATCTATCTATCTATCTATCTATCCATCCATCCATCCATCCATCCATCCATCCATCCATCCATCTCCCTCAAAGAGGGGCTCTGGGCAATGATATGACTGATTTGTTTTCTCAGAATAATGTGAGAATAGTTGCTATGAGTATTATGGCATTTTCTGTAGAAGTCATAAAGCAGGACATCAACATAGACACTACAAGGGTAGATTCTTTTTTCAAAGCTGGTTTCATAATTTATTGCTGATGGTGGCAAATTGAATCCCTATAAAAGTCTTTGATATTCATAAATTGATTGAGGTACCAGAGCAATTTCCCACCATGTAAAAATTCTGTGACATTGAGTTTGTCCAGAAGTTTTTTCTTTATCATTTATCATGGTTATTATTATAAAATAAGGCAGCAGTGACTCTGGAGAATATAACAGAGTAATTTGTTAACAGCGCCTTTGCCAGGAAATTCAATAGCTACCACAATGTTAGAGGGGTTTGTCTTACAATGAAAAATTTAATTTTAGGTAATGAGATATTTTGTCCTTTATTGAAAGTTAACACTGGCAACATATTTTTTATTATATAATAAAGTTTAAAGCCCAGATGAGAGTGGATTGGCCTGCCTATACAACTGCTAAAATATTCTCCCCTCCAACAGTTTCTAGTATAAAATCTGACATGGAGTTTGCTAGTAATATCTAGTAAATTGATAAGACAGTACTATAGTTCTTTAAAAATATGTTGTATCTTCCAGCTGCTCTTGAAAATGATAATAAATATAGCCAAGCCCCATTCTGTGGTATATAAACTGTTTTTAATTGCATAAATCAAATTATGGGTTGCATAAGGTAGACAAGTCAGAGTATTGTACATCAGTCAGAATGATTTTGTATCAATTTGGAATGGATTATTTCTCTTCTACAGTCTTTCTAAGATTAAGAACTAAAGATACAGTAAGTCAATTTAGGGCTGCTTTTGCCAGTATGAATTGTCTCCCAATGAATAGACTTTAGCTGTCAGGATTTTTAAGCAGTATGAACAAATAGCCAGGATCAGATTATCCTACTTTGGACACCTAGAAAAACCTATCTTTCTGAATAAAGCTCTAATGCTGGGAAAGGTGGAAAGAGAAGAGGATGACCAGCAGTCAAGCGAATGAACTCGGTTATGGTGGCAATGTGTGAAAATGTGAAGCCCTAAAGGAATGGGTTAGGTACAAATTAAGAGATCTGTCGTGGAGAAAATGTATATACCCTGTTTCCCCCAAAATAAGACATCCCCTGATAATAAGCGCTTATTTCAGGGTTCAAAAAAATATAAGACGGGCTTATTTTTGGGGAAACACGGTAGTTGATAAGAGTTCACACCAATTTGGTCATAAATTAATAGGCTTTGCTGAGAATTCTGGAATTCTGAAACCATATACATAAAGAACTTCAGGTTGTGGAGGATTGTTTTCAATTACTGGCAATAGTCCATGTAACAATGTGATTTCTGCAATCAAAAACAAATGAAAATCTGTATTTGATGCAGCATATTTGGCATTTATTGTGAGCTTGCTACCCTTTGGAGAAACTGGGTAAAGAATGAGGAAAGAAAGTACAACTATTTTTTATAAAACACTGAAAATCTTTTTGCTGAAAAAGGATAAAAATGAACTGATTTTGGGATTTGTTTAAAAGGTTTGTTTATGGAAAGAAGGGAACTGATGTGCAATATGAGAGGGTGAAGAAGATGGTAATTGCTTAACTGCTGCAAAGTAGATCAGAATTTGCTGCTTTTATATTTTCTTGGGGTGGGGTTTGTTCTTTACTTTTAATTTTCTTTTATAATAATTTTATATTTCTATGTGTCTGTAGTTTGCTTAACTGCTGCAAAGTAGATCAGAATTTGCTGCTTTTATGTTTTTTTTGGGGGGGGGTTCTTTACTTTTAATTTTCTTTTATAATATTTTTATATTTCTATGTGTAGTTTTTAAAAACATTGTACAATCTTCTTTTAATAAAATTATTTATACAAAATAGAGAAAGGATGAGAAAGCTGGGTCTGTCCAGAATTATTCATTTGCCACACTGAGGTCCCAGACAAGGGCCAATTGTTAAAAGATGAACGAATTGTAAAAAAGATCCAGACCAACTCATAAAACAGAATCTTTACGGATTAACAAACACCGGTGTAGAATAATTCTCATAATCTGCTTCCCTTCAATGATTTTCGTAATTACCGGGAGCAGCAGAACCTGGGAGAAACGTACATCGGAGTAAACAGGCTCTTCCTAAACAATACCAGACGGAAATCAGGAAAAGGAAAACCCGGTTAGGGAGCGCGCATCAGACTCTCCGTGGGGAGACACGAAAAAAGGACGGCAGGAGCGAGAGCTGGGGACAGAGCGAGAAAAACGCAGGTGGGAAAAGAGAAGGGTCGGTCACTCGCGTTCTTTCCCGGTTTAGAGATCACTTTCTAATTTTCAAAGCGTGACGCGGAGGAAAAAAAAAAGCGTTTCCACCTGTTTACTGGGAACCTTGGCAACCATGGCTGTGCGCGCGCGCGCGTCAACCAGCAAGGGCAATGAGACGCAGGTCGAATATTCTGCCATTAAAAACAAAACAAAACAAACAACCCTGCAAGCGCCTCATTCTAGCTGTAAGGTGAAAACAGCTGGAGATGCCTATTTCGCCCTTCGCTCTCCTGACTTTGTGCAGCTGTTAAGAGTTATTTTACAGAAACAAGCTGGGTCAACTCGTGTAAGAAGGAAGCGTCTGCCTCTGGACACAGAGCGTGTTTTCGGCGTGCAAGGCATTTTGCCTGATAGGTAATTGACCTGGTGCAGGGAAATCGAGCTTTGTCCCTATCCGCGAAAGCCTCAGTGTTTTTTTAGTTCGCTAGGAAATCAGTTAATTTCCTAGCTGACCTAGCCTGTTCTCCAGGCAACAGGTTTCTGTTCTATTCTATTTTGACTGAGAAAATATGGATACTTCCAGCAGTTCCTCTAAGGGGTAGAGCTTACTGCTTGCTTCTTGCTGCCCAGCTTCTGATTTGAAGTTTTGGTGCAAGTCGGATATTAATTATTTTTAAATAACTCAAGGCAGGGAACATAATATTCCTTCCCCCTCCTATTTTCCCCACAACAACTCTGTGAGGTGAGTTTAGTTGTGAGAGAGAGAGAGTGATTGGATCAAAGTCACCCAGTCTTCTGGTTTATAGGCCAGCGCATTAATCATTACACCAAACTGCCTCTCCTATGCCTCCTCTCTGCAGGCAGCTGATCAGTTCTGCCTGTTCCTCTTTTGAAACAAGCACTCTGCAAAATGAATCTTGGGAAAACTCTACACAGTACCTTTGTATTTGTTCTCTATACTACCTTTTCCTTTACCTTTTCCTACCATCCACACACATATATCTGCTTAGGTAAAAATATGAATATTGTTGCTTATTATGTCTACAATCTTTAAAGAGGAGTTTTCAACATACCTAGGTGTGAACATAGCATCTGCCTGGTTTTCTTTAAAGGAGCCACATCTTTCTCTAGTACCATATGGTGGCTGCAGATACTGTAGTCTTTTCTAAAATTGAAATAATATTTGAATTAGTATGATCATGTATCTCTGATTGAATTGTCAATTTTCTGTAGATATTGTACCTGTAAGTATTTTATTGTATGACTTTAAGAGCAAACCTTGTAATATATTATTTTTCAAATACTTATCTTTAGGGCCACTGGTATGCAAGATTGGTTTAAATTACGGTAGCAAGCTTCTTGTGATGAGATTGGAAAATGACATTCATTGAAATTGTTCGTTGTAATAAATTCTGCTCAATGCTTTTGAACAGAATTTCAATAGAAGTTCAATAGAAGTTCAATTGAATAGTTCTTCAATAGAAGAACTATTCAACAGTTCAATAGAAAATATATTTAAAGTGAAAGAAATACCTCTTTTATTTTGTTGAAACCCTTCTAATAGCATCTGATCATCCCTCTCCAGTCAACTTTATAATTTTACTTTTCAGCTCCATTTTAAGTTATAAACAGTTCAGATGGACTTGGAGGTTAAAGGAATTGCTGCATCTCCAAAAAGACAAGTTTTACTGACCTCTCAGGTACATTTAAAATTAACTTTACAAAATTTAAAAATGAATGTTCATTTTGAAAAACACATACATACACGCACACACACAAAATCACTATACCTTGTGATCAGAAACGTATATGCATCTATTAACTAGAGAAACAAGGCTGTACATAAGTGAAACCTGGTTTTGTGTGTATGTGAGAGTTCCCTTTCTAATAAACAAAGTGTGTCCTGGTTTGGAGCATGGCACTGAGGTAGGGCACTGAGGTAGGAGTGACTAGGAGTGCTGCTTCAGACATAGCCAGATATGAGACTGTGTGAGATTGGGCCAAGGGATCAATTGGGATCTTCCCCCTGTAGTTTAGCAGCAACCCTGCCTAAGTTCTGTGACTGACAGTATCTTCTCATTTCATTCATTTAGGTAAAGTGGGGATACTCCAAGTTCCTTCCCTTAAATGTTTCCATTTAGTGAGATCTAGGAAGCGCACCTTCTCTGTAGCAGACTCTGCTCTATAGAATACCTTCCCACTGAGATCTGTCAAGAACCCCTCTCCTAGTCCTTCAGGGGCCTTGAAGAGCTCAAACATTGGGGTAGAGTGAGGTTGAAGCCCAATGAAGTTGACTGTTGATGTGTGGAGGAATATATTATTTGGGCCCTGGAAGTTGCTATGCTAGGTTTATTTTAGAATGTTTTGCTGTTGTTTATTTTGTTTATAGGCCATCCAGGGTTATGTTGCATAAGATGGACAGCTACATAATTTTTCTAAACGAATAAAATAATTTAGAGATTATTTTTGTTAGCTAGAGGAATAATGTGTAATTTTTAAATTGGAAATGTTGAGTAATATTTCAGAAAAAACAGACCTGGAGTTGTTTTAGACATCTTTCTGAAGAGCACGTCATAGATCTGTTCTTCCAGTTAAATATTAGGAAAGTGGAGAAAATGAAAGATATTTGCAAAGTGAAAGCAAAAAAGATTCATATTCCCAAACATTGGTTTAGATCTAAAATTACATTTCTCCATTTTTATAAGTATTCTGTTTCTTTTAGATATATGATCGTTTTCCAATAGCTACTATTTTGTTGTACTGTATCTGCATCCTTAGGGCATACCAGTTATAGTTTATATAATCTATATAGTTTATATAATATAATCTGCAGTAATTTAATTGAAGTTTCTGTCTTGCCATCTATTTCTTGCTTCTGTTATAGGAAAGCCAGTGTTTCATTAAACAAGTTATTTTTTTGTGTGAAATGGCCCTAGTGATGTTTCAACAGATTATGTAAGAAACATTTTTCTGTTTTAAGATTTCTGATTGGAATGGTAAAATAGAGCATCTTCCTGTAAGAAATTTATTCTATAGAACTATAGAATAGCATTAATTTACTCTTTCAAATAGCAAGCCAATGTACTTGTTCAACTATCTGCTTAAAAAGACAAGTTGATATGTTTTCCCCCAAATAATTGGAAAGAAACATATATATTATAATATTTATATATTATCTCCAATATGTAAGAAAATACCAAGAAGTAGTAAAAGGAGGAGGAAGGTTACCCTATCCAATGGATATTTATGTTACCTGCCAGGGCTCTGGATACCATACTTCAGAACAAAATAAATAATCTTAATTTTTATTTAGCTATTTAAAAAGAATCCATCAGAGTTTGGTATAAGATGGGTGTTTATGTAAATGTTTGAAATAAATAAATAAATAAACTTTCTATAGATAAACTTGTTACTCCATAAAGTACCACAGAATTGACCAAAACTCTTTTAAAATCCTAGCTTCCATTCCCTTGGATTTCCCCTGAATTAAACTACTATATAGTAAATTTATTATTCTTATTGTATTTCTTTGTTTCTTTTAATAATTGATTCTTATTTATGTTCACACTTTCATTGAGTATGGAGGAACATGAAAACAAACAAACAAATAAGCAAAAGCTTTGTACTCTTTTTTCAGGGTTGGAGACCAAACACAAGATTAAGCCATGGTCCTCGACCAGCAGAGTAAGTATTTCCCTTTTTAAAAAAATTCTATGCAAATATGATAGTATAAGAATACTAATATGAAACAAATCAAACAGTTCAAGAAACACTTTTTTCCCTTAAAATGTTGCTGATATAGGAATGTCACATTTTGTTTGGCAGACAGCTGATAGCGCAAAAAAAAGGAAGTGTCCTATATTCTGATATAAAATCATAATTATGCTTTATAAATCTTGTCAAATATTTCACTGATGGAATTGCTGAATGGTAAGTGGTAATGTCAGATTCAGAAATTGTATAGTTTCATTAAAGGTTTCAGTGGCTGAAAATTCTGTGTTTTAAAATGCTTAAGCTGACACTGAAATTTCAGTATTTTTAATCTAATGTCACATTGTTCATTTGCTAATATTAATTTAAAGTAGATTTCAAAGGGAGATTAGCAAAAATTGGCATTCCTTTGCTTCTGAATGCATGAAGTTCTATGGCTGTCTAGATACAATTGTCTGAAAAGTAAAAGTGATTAATATTAGAATTCCTCAAATGTATTTTTACTTTTATATCTCATCTTCTGGTAACAAAGCAGCATATACACAGTATTCTTACTTGCCCATCTATTTTTAGCTAGTCATATATTTTTTTTCTTGGTTTATTTTATTGTTTTCTTATTTTACTTTTGGTTTGTTTAAATTCCTTTTTATTTCTTCATTTTTTATTGTTGTAAACAATCTAGAGTAGCCCTATAGTGAGATGGGCAGCAAAAAAATAATAATTTAATAATAATTATTATTTTACTTATTTTGCAATATAGATCATTAATGTTCCTAGATTAAGAAATAATGCTCAATGTTAGGAGCAACAGAGTATATAATGTTTAGTTTTATAGAATAAAATACTATTATTTTAAGGTTTTGTATGGAAAGTTTATAAATATATTTGCCTATATGTAAAAATTTTGCACAAACCTACGTAAATATATTTATCGGAAATATACTTAAAGATTTTTGGGAAAGTTTTGGGTGGGACTAAGAGTTTTTTGAATGCAATATAGGAGTATATTGTTCCTGTTGATTTTTGCATCAGGTATTGACATCTTTCAAATTCTGTGCTAGAGAATTTAGGAAAATTGCAAAGGTAGAATACTAGAGTTGATTTCTAATTAATATTATACATTAGTAATTCTCGATTTTAAAATTGTCATTAATTGGTAATCTCTCAGTCTGCTTCACATGGATCTATCTAATGTTACAAATTAATTGTATTCTATATGTTTCTTTCTTAATTAAGTTCAGAAAGAACTCGCATGTGAGATGGATATTTTTTGTATTCAAATGATATAAATAAAAGATGTTTGTATGATAATAAACAATCTTTCTGCTATCAAGCAATTAATTGTGAGAAATAATAGAAATGGATGATTTTGACTTGCTGATTTTTAATGGAATTTTTTTAAAAAAAATCTCTACTATTTTGTTTGCTTCCTAAAAAAAGTGGTCTGCTTTTTTTCTTTAATCCATTTTTAAAAATCAGCAACCTTACTTTGAAGGAAAAAGATGCGTGACATCTAAAAATCAGGGAAGTATTATAATTTTAAATTTCTAATTCTCCATAGGGTGCCATGTCTTGACTTGGGAAAGTTGGGTGATTCAGAAGATGAGGTAATAGCTATTTGGTTTTTTTTGGAAATTATTAAAAATATGCAAATACTAAATGTGACAGTTGTTAGAATGCAAATACTGGAACAGAAATGAAAACAGTTCTCATGATCTACCTTAGCTTTTATTTGCTTTTCATTTGCTAATTTTCCTGGATTTATATCAGTTTTTTAAAAGAAGTTCATCTGCAGCTATATTTATCAGTTGGTCAATTAATAAGCGAAAAACTCATTTTATTTTATCATCTTATTGTTAACTTACAAAATGTAAGTTAACAATGTAAGACAAGTGTATAGTAAGTACTCTGCATTCTGAGAATAAAGCAACTGTCAATAATGGCAATTTGGATATTAAGATTAGATTTATCCAGAGTATGGAAAAATAATTGCTAAGTATAATAAGGCCTAATTTAGGCCAATTGGCAATTGTACTACCATGACTGCTTGTTTTCACCCTAATTTCATAGTGATGGCCAAATCTTGCTGTAGGTTCTACCTTGGCTTACTTTCTCTAATAAGCAACCAAGTCAGAGGATCATTTAAAAGTTTTAGAGTACTCTGATAAAGAGGACTCCCCCTATGAAAAGGAGGACCTTGAAAGCTAGCTTATATTTACTTTTTATAGTTAGCACAACAAATAACTTCTAAGTAAAAGTTGATTGGTTCAGAAATAATAATCTGTCCAGTTACATCATAGAAATTAAAGTATCCAATAATATGTGAGCATAGCAATAGAAAAGAGCATTGTATTAAAGTATTAAAAAAGTAAAACATTAGCATGGGAAAACACATTATGAGTCCCATAGAGTTCATTGTGAAAAAATACAATTTCAGCTAAATTGAAACTTCTTAACATGCTCAGTTGAAGAAAAAAGCCTTCAGCCTGAGAAAGTTCTTATTTTGCAGTTAGTTTTCAGCAAGTTGGTTGCTAAGGGAAAATGTTAGCATTCCAAGTTATGATCAAAATGTAAACTAAATTAAAGAAGGTAAACATACCGTGTTTCCCCGAAAATAAGATCCTGTCTTATATTTTTTTGAACCCTGAAATAAGCACTTGCCCTTATTGCCATACATTCAAAAGCCTGATTGGGCTTGCTTATTTATTTATTTATTTATTTATTTATTTATTTATTTATTTATTTATTTTGTATACCGCCCTTCTCCCAGAAGGGACTCAGGGCGGTGAACAGCCAAAATTAAAAAACATACAAATACAAAAGTTAAGATAATTAAAAAAAATTAAATCACTAGCTTCCCAGTTTAAAACCCCAAATCCATAAAATTTAAAATCCCAATTTAAAAACCATTTAGGCTAGGCCAGCTTGGTGGAATAAAAACGTCTTCAGGGCTTTACGGAAGGTCCAGAGGTCCAGGATCAATCGTATTCCAGGAGGCAGCTCATTCCACAGGGCGGGTGCCCCCACAGAGAAGGCTCTCCCCCTGGGGGCTGCCAGCCGACATTGCCTGACCGACGGCACCCTGAGGAGGCCCTCTCTGTGAGAGCGTATTGGCCGGTGGGAGGTTATCGGTAGCAGCAGGCGGTCTCGCAAATACCCTGGCCCTAAGCCATGGAGCGCTTTAAAGATGAGAACCAACACCTTAAAGCGCACCCGGAAGACCACTGGGAGCCAATGCAGTTCGCACAGGAGAGGTGTTACGTGGGAGCACCACGTTGCTCCCATAATCACCCGCGCAGCCGCATTCTGCACCAGCTGGAGCCTCCGGGTGCTCCTCAGGGGGAGCCCCATGTAGAGAGCATTACAGTAGTCCATACGGGAGGTAACTAGGGCATGAGTGACCGTGCACAAGGCGTCCCGATCCAGAAAGGGGCGCAACTGGCGTATCAGGCGAACCTGATAAAAAGCCCCCCTGGCCACAGCCGTCATGTGCTCTTCTAAAGACAGCCGTGTGTCCAGGAGGACACCCAAGTTGCGAGCCCCCTCTGTGGGGGTCAGTGACTCGCCCCCAATAGCCAGCAATGGCACCAGCTGGCTATACCGGGACGCCGGCATCCACAGCCACTCGGTCTTGGAAGGGTTGAGCCGAAGCCTGTTCCTCCCCATCCAGACCCGCATGGCTTCCAGACACCGGGACATCACTTCGAGGGCATCATTGGGGAGGTCTGGGGTGGAGATGTACAGCTGAGTGTCATCAGCGTACAGATGGCATCGCACCCCAAAACCACGCATGATCTCACCCAGCGGCTTCACATAAATGTTGAACAGGAGCGGCGAGAGGACCGAGAAGGCTTCTTGAGGAGGGGCCTCATCACCGCCTCTTTCAAGGCGGGAGGCAAGAAACCCTCACTCAGAGAAGCATTTATAATCCTCTGGAGCCAGCCTCGTGTTACCTCCCGGGTGGCCAGTACCAGCCAGGAGGAGCACGGGTCCAATAAACATGTGGTTGCGTTATTATCAGGGGATGTCTTATTTTGGGGGAAACTGGGTATTAGTTTGGCAGTGCAACAGTACTACAAAACCCATAGTTCAAATATTAATCGAATTTATATGGACTACAATAGGCAGCATATACATTTAGTACATTATTAATTATTTAACATTTTCCGATCATTTCTAAGATATTCTTTATACAGGTATTCCTCAACGTACGACCACAATTGAGCTTAACATTTCTGTTGCTTAAGTGAGACATTTGTTAAGTGAGTTTTGCTCATTTTATGACTTTTCTTGCCACAACTGTTACATAAATCACTGCAGTTGTTAAGTTAGTAACATGCTTGTTAAGTGACTATTGGCTTCCCCATTGATATTGAAGGTTATAGAAGGTGACCGCATGACCCAGGACACTGCAACAATCATAAATATGAGTCAATTGTCAAGTGTCTGAATTTTGATTATGTGACCATGAAGATTCTGCAAAGTCACTTTTTAGAACGGTCACTAAATGAATTTTGTAACTCAAGGACTACCTGTATGTGGCATTTTAGTTATCTGTGTATATATTCAACCTGGCATACAAACCCATAATATACCTCCTAGCTTTTGTCTTGGTTTTAACTCAAAGTAAAGGGAATTAAAAACAAAGAAAACCCAAATAATTATTTAATTTCAGAGTTAATTAGATACAATTATCTGGTGTCCATTATATATGTCTGATTTGTTATTAAATTATTTACACATAAAAATAATACTGATGAGTAGCAAATCTGAGCAAGAAAATTCCTTAAGTTATTTGCCTATCTGTACTGGTGCCGGGTTACTAGGATGTGTTTCCATCATCTCAATAATCTGAACTTTCTGAATTTTTTAGACAAGTTGATTTGATTACATGTCTGTGGAGATTCTCAGTCCATGTCACTGTTGTCCCAAAGGTGCTTTTCAAAAGGCAAGTGGACTTTCTTAGTTTTTTCTTGAAAATGTTTTGCTTCTCATCCAAGAACCTTCAGAACTGAAGAAGCTTCTTGGATGAGAAGCAAAACATTTTCAAGAAAAAACTAAGAAAGTCCAGCTTATTTGATTACAGTTAAATAAATACTTTCTTATATTTTAGGATGGAGATAATGGCTCACTGTACAATGCTGTGAGACCTCACACTGTCCCTCCAAGTCTGTCTTCATCTTTTAGGAGGGGCACTCAATTACAAAGTACTCATGCACAATATCATAACATAGAACAGGTAAGTTGACTTATTGAAGGAAGTATTTTCAAGCATAACTCTTCCAGAAACGAATCTCATCTAAATGTATGAAACTTAACTGAATCAGTGTAATTAAAATTATTAGCATTTTTTAAGAAAAGATAATATTCAACAGAGTTACATGATCACAGAATAATGCATAATAATTTAACTTCTTCAGAATTCCTAAGCAGATGAGATAGTAAAAATTAGAAAATATTGTGAGAAAAAGTGATTGATTCCATTGAAGCTGTGGGATCTGTCATGACTTTAAGTTAAATAGGATAGATTTGGTGCTCTTAAGCTTCAAATTTTTGAGTCATAATGACAGTTGTATAAGCATTTTGTGTATTGGAGTATCTAATTTGTTTATTTTGAAATACCAGTTACCATTCTTTGGCATTTTTATTAGAGAAAATAACTGAAATATACTGATTTTTTTTTTTTAAAAAACCTTGATTTTAAAATAATATTTTGGATAGTATGATCTTAGTTATTGTTCTACATATGTCCCCATCCATATCTTGATCCAGTATGGAGTTTTATTTATGTTATGGATGTATTATATTATTCACTTTTAGAATCCTGTTTTGAAACTCTGTCTGCCATAAAAAGTATCAAGCCTCTTACAAACATGGTTAATAGAGGCCATTATTTGAAAGACCCATTTATTATGATAATATATCTGGGTGAACAGGCAGAATGAAAATGGTTCACAACTTCCTTCTCCTAGATTACTAGATTTTGACACCAGAATTTAAAAATGGAAACCTTGCTACCTGCTTAGTTCTGAATCACAACTAGCATGTTAGAATTGTATTTTGCGCTATAGTTCTGTTATTCTTATCTAGAAGTACTTTTCCCTGTATAATAGGACTTGCTTTTAAATACAAATATAGGATTTCTAATTAATGTTGCTAATACTGGATTTAAGATGTCAACATCAAAGCCAGGCTGTCATGACCGGGTCAACCACTGAGTCTAATACAGCTGATGAAATGGTTGGCGAGACGGTGGCAACAGCGACTCCGGATAGGGTGTTGATAATGATGCCTGGGCTAATAGGCGCTGCATGTAGCAACACGGCGGCGATGATGTCTATGGCAAGGGGGGTTACCACAATGGCGAGGGGAATGGCGCTAATGGCAGCGATGGCGACGGCAACACCAGGAGGCTGCAAGGAAGCCCTCGTTGTTAATAGAGGAGAGGGCAATGCTGCAAAGGCTATAAATGTTAGGATCCCTTCAACCTCTAGGGATCTGTTGCATTCCTCTTTCTTGAAACTCTGAGGACTTATTAAACTAATTGAACTAAGTAGCCTGAGCAAGGTGATGGATAAGGACTGAGGATTACAAACTGGAGATGATGACTTACTCTCCCCCTCAACTGTCCCTCTCTCCTTTATCAGATGTAGATCTATTACGACCACTCAGCGTTAACTTGCAATCTTAGATCGATCTGCAGCTTTATTTACCACCTATTCCCCAAGATTACCCTGATTATTTAACCCTAAATACTTTGTCCAGTGGCTCTGCCTTACTTTTTTGATCTAATCCTTGGCCATCGCTGGTATCAGGACTGGAGGAGATACAGACATCGAGAGTCTTGGATTATGGGGAGATAGACCACCTTCTCTTTGTTTGTTTCAAATGGTTTGGTCGCTGTGAGAGGACGACCCTTTGAGACCTCTACCCCCACCTCCTTCGGATGGACTTACTACAACCACAAGACTTCCCATCGTCGTGAGAGGGCGATGATGTTCCGATGTATTGACATTTGTAACATACTGGTCTCCCTTTTACATCTATTTCCTCCCTTATTTTAAATTACCTGTCTTAACCATGTCTAACACTCTTAGAAGAAAAGGATCCTTCATCTCCTTCAACTCGCTCCTATCTTTGATGTATTCAACTGTGGAGCTCCTTGCACTGCGAGATTCCCCCCTCTCGCATGTCTGGCCCTCTCAGTTATCAAGGGCCGCCCTTGAGGACGGGTTTTGGAACCCTGAGAGGTGGTTTGCAAAAAACTGACGGCTTTGGGGGTTTTTAGATAAATCTTTAAGTTCTATTTTAAGGGGTTCTGGGAGGGATTGTGGGAATGGATCTGGGGGGATCCATAAATCCACTGAAAGGGGTAATGGGTCTGATAATTATGGTGGGGAGGATGGGGACAGAAATCTGACAAGAATGCAGGGGGATGAAGCGATGGGCATTAGTATAGTAAGTGGGAGGGGCAGATATGACGGCTGCAGGGGGCCATATTATGTTTTGGGAGTGCGCACTCGTTGTTTACGAGCGATTGCCCACTCCGACCCCCAAAGCACTGCTCGTTTCCCGGGTTGTTCAGAGTCTCAGACCCTGGGTCTACGGCTGATGTTATGTAATGCCAGGTCAGTGGTAAATAAAGCCCCCCTCATTCATGATCTTATTTCAGAGGGGGGTGCTGACCTGGCAGGGATTACAGAGACCTGGTTAGGCAGGAGGGAGGAGTTCCCCTTGTGGAAATGTGCCCGCCAGGTTTCCGTGCATTCCATCAGCCAAGGACTCAGGGAAGGGGTGGGGGAGTGGCAGCAATCATTAGAGAAAGTCTTTGCCCGAGGGAGGCCACTGTTCCTCAGATAGCCGGATGTGAGTCCCTCCTTGTGAAGTGGGGTCGGGGGATTCAGATGGGCCTACTGATTGCGTACCTGGCTCCCTGCCACGTAACAGCGGTCCTGCCTGAGCTGCTCGACATTATAGCCGGGGTGGCGGTGGAAACCTCCAGACTTATTATTATGGGGGATTTTAACCTGCCATCCGCTGGTGAGATGTCGGAGACGGCTCGGGAGTTCATGGCTTCCATGACGGCCATGGACCTGATCCAGGTAGTTCAAGGCCCCACCCACTTGGGGAATCACACTCTGGACTTGATTTTTGTCTCTGATCAGTGGCTGAATGATCTAAGAATAGGGGATATAGACATCAAGCCCTTGTCATGGTCTGATCATTCTCTCCTTCACATGGACTTTCAAGTCACTTCCACCCACCGCAGGAAGACGGAACCAACCAAATGGTTCCGTCCCAGGCGCCTGATGGAATCCGAAAGGTTCCTGATGGAGCTTGGGCCATTCCTGAGACTCTGGCTCACAACTCGACTGAGGACCTGGTGGTCACCTGGGACAGGGCGGCTACTGGGGCCTTGGACCGCGTCGTGCCTTTGCGGCCTCTGACCCGATGCCGATCTCGTCTAGCTCCTTGGTTTTCCGAGGAGCTGAGAGAGATGAAGCGTCGGAAAAGACGCCTGGAGAACGATTGGAGGACAAGCCGATCTGAATCTGACCGAACACAGGTGAGATCTTATATTAAGACCTACCTAGTGGCGATAAGAGCGGCGAAGTCTAGCTACTTCTCCGCTCTTATTGCATCTGCAGAGAACCACCCAGCTGCGCTGTTTAGGGTGACCCGCTCCCTACTTCAGGTGGGGGTACGGGAAGATCCCTTAAAGGGTCAAGCTGAGGATTTTGTACAATTCCTGCATGATAAAGTCGCTCAGATTCGGGAAGGCCTGGACTCCGATTGGGTAGATCCAGGGGAGGAGACGGGGGCAGGTCTTGAGAGCGTTATCTGGGAAGAGTTTGACTCTGTGGCTCCTGAGGATGTGGACAGGATTCTGGGCAAGCTTAACGCTGCCACATGTTTATTGGACCCGTGTCCCTCCTGGTTGGTACTGGCCTCCTGGGAGGTTACACGAGGCTGGCTCCAGGGGATTATAAATGCTTCTCTGAGTGAGGGTGTCTTTCCCGCTGCCTTGAAAGAGGCGGTTGTGAAGCCCTCCTCAAGAAGCCTTCCCTGGACCGGCTATATTATCAAATTATCGTCCAGTCTCCAATCTTCGCTTTGTTGCGAAGGTTGTTGAGAGTGTGGTGGCACGACAACTACCCCGATACCTGGATGAAGTTGTCTATCTGGATCCGTTCCAGTCGGGCTTCAGGTCACGATACAGCACGGAAACGGCATTGGTCGCATTGGTGGATGATCTCTGGAGGGCTCGGGACAGAGGTTGCTCCTCTATCCTGGTCCTATTAGATCTCTCAGCGGCTTTTGATACCATCGACCATGGTATCTTACTGCACCGGCTGGAGGGGTTAGGAATAGGGGGCACCGTGCTTCGGTGGTTCTCCTCCTTCCTCTCTGACCGTTCGCAGTTTGTGTTGGCAGGGGGGCAGAGGTCGACCTCGAGGCACCTTATTTGTGGGGTGCCGCAAGGGTCAGTCCTCTCACCCCTTCTGTTCAACATTTATGTAAAACCGCTAGGCGAGATCATCCGTGGTTTCGGGGTGAGTGTTCATCAGTATGCTGATGATACACAACTATACATCTCCACCCCAGACCACCCCAATGATGCCCTTGCTGTGATGTCCCGTTGCCTGGAGGCCGTGCGGATCTGGATGGGGAGAAACAAGCTCAGACTCAACCCCTCCAAGACCGAGTGGCTGTGGCTTCCGGCGTCCCGGTATAGTCAGCTGGTACCATCACTGACAATAGGGGATGAGATCTTGCTCCCCACAAAGAGGGCCCGCAACTTGGGTGTCCTCCTGGATTCATGGTTATCTTTAGAAGATCATTTGACGGCCGTGGCCAGGGGTGCCTTTTATCAGGTTCGCCTGATCCACCAGTTGTGTCCCTTTCTGGATCGGGACGCCTTGTGCACGGTCACTCATGCCCTAGTTACCTCCCGTATGGACTACTGTAATGCTCTCTACATGGGGCTCCACTTGAAAAGCACCCGGAAGGTCCAACTGGTCCAGAACGTAGCTGCGCGGGTGATTATGGGTGCAGCTCGTTACGCCCATGTAACACCTCTCCTACGCGAGCTGCACTGGCTCCCTGTGGTCTTCCGGGTGCGATTCAAGGTGTTAGTTATCACCTTTAAAGCGCTCCATGGCTTAGGACCTGGGTACCTACGAGACCGTCTTTTGCCACCAATAGCCTCCCACCGACCAGTTCATTCTCACAGGGAGGGACTACTCAGGGTACCGTCAGTCAAATTATGTCGACTGGCGACTCCCAGGGGGAGGGCCTTCTCTGTGGGGGCTCCAACCCTTTGGAATGAACTGCCCCCGGAGATACGGAATATCCCTGATCTCCGTGCTTTCCGCCGTGCCCTCAAGACCCTGATGTTCCAACAGGCGGGGCTAAACATACGAACATGTGAATGATTTTTTAAATGTTATCTAATTCTGGGTTTTATTTAATTGACCAAACTAAGTAATAATTTTAATTAGCAATTTTATGATGTTTGTGTGTCTATATTTTTCTTGACTGTACACCACCTTGAGTCCTACGGGAGAAAGGCGGTATAGAAATATAATAAATAAATAAATAAATAAATAAAATAAATAAGATATTCTGATTTTTTTCTTCATTATTAAAACATATCACATTTTGTTAATTAGTTTAAATAATGAATTTTTAAAGAAGAGAGTACTGTAAATATATATTTTCTTCCCTTTTTACTGTATAGATAGCAAGGAGACCTGACATGAAGAAAATTGAGGTAAATAATTTAAGAAGTAAACGAATCATGTTTTAAAATAACAATTATGGACTTTTTTTGTAATGATGGTGATGATACATGTATATTTGTTCTACTCTGAAACAAATCCTATTAGTAAAAAATGTAACTTTATATTTTCAATATTTTTTGCTTTAGATTTGCAATTACATCTAGCATCTGTGCAAATCTGAACAATCTTGAGTTGATAAACAATGACAATTGATAAATATTTAAATGTTATGTTTAATTGATTCAGATACTATACCATTATTACTGTTCTGATTATTTATTTATAGCTTTCTTCAAAGGAGCAAAAAACAATACCAGAAAATCTGCCACTCCCAACAGACATATACAAGCTGAAGTATCAGCAATATGAAACAGAAATGAAAGAGGGTTATAAGCAGTATTCTCAGAGAGCTTCAGAAAAGAAAATAAATAATAATCTGTTTCATGAACTTCCAGGCAAGATAGCTGAAAAAAAGGTAACATACATATATTACCCCAGTATAATAACTGTATCTAAAATACTGTAGGGAGATTAGCTTCACTAAAGCAAGTGTAGTGCATAAGGTATAATAAGAACAATCTAGAAGACAGTGAATAGATTTTTGTTTTGGACTAATGTAGGAGTTAAGTCTTTCCCCACCCCCCACCCCCAAATTCTGCTTTTTCCAACATCTACCTATTCAACTACATTTTTTCCCTTTGAAGCTCATTGTATTTCCCCCTTTGTTTTATAGTTCCATGTTCCATTTCTTTGCATTTTAATTTGGATATAGTTGCCTGGTTAATTTGCTGTTTTCATTTTTGCCCTTGGTGATTTTTGAGTTTGCACTGATAAGGACTTGACTTGGTCTTCTAGGATGGTCACAGTTTCCCAGTTGAAACCACATCTTATGAAATTAAAAAGTTTTCAGCATGTCTTCTGACTGCTAGTTGGTGTTCATGGATATGTTATGCCAGTCTTCTGCCTTTTTGTCTTACATAGTGGTTGCTACAGTTAATACACTGTATATTGTAGATTATTCCCATTATTTCTTATGGGGCTATTGGGTCATTTGGTTTGCTTGGAATGTTTTGAAGGGCTTTAGTTGGCTTGTGTGCTACGCTGATTCCATGTGGTTGTAGTAATTCCTTTAAGGTCAGAGATAACTTTAATATGTTTTGCATAATGGGTTTCTATTTATTTTAATAGAAACAGCTGCTGTATGCAAGATTTATGAATGTCTCAATGTTTCAGTATTTATATTCTTTTGAATTTCTCAAAAATTCAAGGGGAAAAGTTAGATATAGGAAATATGTTTAGGTTACTTCCTGCGCACATTTTAGCAGCAAGGAATTAAAATGAAATAAATAGTAGTGATAACACTCACTGGAATCACCAATTTCATCCAAATATTATGTTTTATTCCCATATAGGATTTACAACCAGAAAAACAAAGACTGGATGAATTCACAGTTCTTGATGAAAAAGCCCTTTTACAGCAAGGTTATACAAACAAACCATATACTATGCAGCATAGTATAAGAAAATTTGATGTTGTAAGTTTAGTAGGCTAAATTAAAGTGCTAGAAAATTAGCATATATTGTTATAGCTAAGCAATGTAAATAAATAAAATTAACCCAATATAACTTGGTATAGTGCCCTTCTAGCTTAAGTACTTAATAATGATTTTTTATTGTGCACAGATGAAATGGAGCCAGTCTGGTCTACTGTTTAAGGCTCCAGGCTAGAAAATGGAATATTATCTGTTCTAGTACCATTTTAACCATGAAAGCCAGGTGGGTGACTTTGGGCCAGTCACTTTCTCTCTCACCCAACCCACCTCAAAGGATTGTTGTTGTAGGGAAATTAGGAAGATATATTAGATATTTGTCTGCTTGAGTTATTTTAAAATTAATAAATGTGGGATGCAAATAAATGAAATGGTACTGCTATTGAAACTATTTTCAGTTCTTACTATTTTTATTTTCCATTAAGAATTTAAACAAAACATTATTTAAACAATTTGAAACTCTGAGTTTAATATGTATCAAGATGGCTTATAGAAATAAGTTAAGAAAAGAATTATTACAGTATTAGACATGCAATGTATATTAATATTAATAATAAATAAATAATGAATATAGCTGTAAATTTTAATTGTTATTGCACAAGACATTTGTACCCATACGACACACTGTTTAATGGAAGATGGATTGTTTGTATTAAAATAAAATTAAAAATAAAAAAAAAAAAGATGGCATAGAACCAGTTTCATGTCAGCATGTTCATGCATGGTTTGATGGCTGAATAGATACTAAGAAATATTTCTTTATTTATTAAATTTATCTTCCCCCTTTCATTTAGGAAAGCAAGGCAGTGTGCATAGTGCTATATCTTATTTCTCTTAAAAAAGGTTTGTGAGGTGGTTTTCAGAGAAAACTACTCTCAAAGTACTCCAGAAGGTTTCTGTGTATGTGGGTAGACTAGAATCTGAGTTTCCTGGTACAGGTTTTTAACAACTACACAATGAGTAAATTTTACTTTAGTTACAGTTTAGGATAAATTATTATGTCTGACTCCAATTTGAAACAAAATTAATATTATTTTTAGCATTTCCTTTTGATGAAATCTGCCCAATTCAATAAAAATGATGGGTTTTTTCCTAGATTAAGATTCTGCATTAATTATTTGTAAAACCTTATAACAAGGTAGTGTTTTATATCTGTTTTGTTTTTAAAACAACATTCCTCACTGCTTCTTGTTAAGAGTGCTTAATCCTGTGGTTTATTACACTTGTAGCAATACTGTTGAAAGTATTTAAATGGCATTTTTATTCAATGGTTACTTTGCAGGAAGAAGTAGCAGCAGAAAGGAAAAAACAAGCTGTGGTAGAACAAGTGATGTTAGATCAATTGTGTAGGTAAGATAATAAAATGCTAATTACTCGGAGGCTCCAACTGGTCCAGAATGCGGCCGTATGGGTGATTATGTGGGGGGGGGGGCGACATGGTGCACCCATGTAACACCTCTCCTGCGCAAGCTGCACTGGTTCCCGATGGGGAACCAGTGCTTCTTGGTGCGATTCAAGGTGTTGGTTACCACCTTTAAAGCGCTCCATGGCTTAGGACCGGGGTATATACGAGATCGCCTTCTGCCACCGATAGCCTCCCACCAGCCAATATGCTCCCACAGAGAGGGGCTCCTCAGGGTGCCGTCAGCCAAACAGTGTCGACTGGCGATACCCAGGGGGAGAGCCTTCTCTGTGGGGGCACCAGCCCTCTGGAATGAGCTGCCCCTAGAGGTTCGTATAATCCCCGACCTGCGTACCTTTCGCCGCGCCCTGAAGACTCTTTTATTCCAACAAGCCGGGCTGGCCTAATAGGAATTTTTAAATTGGGTGTTTGTTAGTTTTTAATTTCGTGGGCCAAATTTTATATATTTGTTTTAAAATTGTTCTTAAATTTTGTGGTTTATATGTGTTTTAATATGGCTGTACGCCGCCCTGAGTCCTTTGGGAGAAGAGCGGTATAAAAGTTCAATAAAATCTAAATCTAAATCTAATCTACCGGTGAGTAGCTAGAAAAGTACTAATGGCCTGTTTCCCCCAAAATAAGACATCCGCTGATAATAAGCCCAATTGGACTTTTGAGCACATGGCAATAAGGCCAAGCGCCTATTTCAGGGTTCAAAAAAATATAAGACAGGGTCTTATTTTCGGGGAAACACGGTATATAGCAGGGCTATGTATTTCTGTTGAAAGAGATGGTTCACAACAAGCAGAAGTACATACAAAGCTGTATTGTTGAATCATTAAAGTAGCCCCTTTTTTCTCATAATATTGTGGTTGCTTCTGGTCATCTTACATATATAGTTGATTTACTATATTACTTGAAATCACTTGATTTACAAGGTCAAACCTAAACAAATGGCATTGTTATAACCCAGTATTTGAAGAGCAGAGAATCATGCTTCCGTACACAAGAAATATCACAGTAGCTGAGCAGCAAACAGATTGTGGGGGGAGCAAAAAAGATGTTAAATATGTTGGGAAAATTTGTTCTATTTCTCCCCATCCTCCCACAAGTCATCTGTTGTATGTTGATTTATTTACTTTATAGTTCTCTGAACATCAGTGGATCAGTGATTATGAGACCTGTTTGGGGAAGTAAATTGTGAGATCAAATAATTGGTTATAAAGGGGAATTAAAAGACAACAGTATTGGTTATTGTTTCCATTATGGAAACTTGGTGGGATGAAACCCACAAATGGAATTTTGGGTTTTACCAAGTAGATTGATAGATTTTTATAGAAATGGATTGTTCATAATATGAAAAAGCAAAAAGTTGTGATTTGATGTTAATGCCTTATTTTACTGTAACAGAGAGAAGTCAATGCTTCTTTTTCTTTCTTATCTTTCCTCACTTCTCTTTCCCCTTTCCCCCACCCCACTGCTTTTCTATTTACTTTATATTTTGTATTTTATAATACTTTATAACTCAATAAAATGGTTTACTTGAAATGGAATAGAAAGCTAGAGGGATTTAAATTATTTAAAAGAAACAGACCAAATAAAAGAGGAGGTGGAGTTGTATTATATATAAGAAATAACTATATCTCTACAGAAATAGAGCACAACAATGATAAAAACTGTCTTGAATGCATATTAGGTCAATATAAAAAATGCATTGCCATACTACAGGCCACCCAACCAAACAGAGGAAAGAGATAATTTTTTTATTAGTCACTTAACTAAGGTACTGTATGTAGGAAGCACATCACAATAGTAATGGGGGACTTTACTTCCCTGACATCAACTGGGAGACAAACTCTGCACTAAGTGGAAGATCAAACAGGCTCCTGACAAACCTAGCAGACATCTTTGTCTCCCAAAAAGCAGAGAAGGGAACTAGGGAATCAGCCATATTGGATTTAGTTCTTAATAACAGAGATGAAATGATAGGTGTTGAAGCTACAGGAACCTTGGGGTGGGGGTAGGGAAATGATCATGCAATATTGAAATTCAACATAATATGCAAGCACAAATAATAGAACAAAGTCAAACTAGAGTCTTGGGATTTAAGAGAGCTAATTTCAATAAAATTAAAGAGAGCTTGGGAAGAATTCCATGGATGAGAATGCTCAAGGGGAAAACAATCCAAGAAGCTTGGGAAACTTTGAAAAGTGAGATTATAAAAGCCCAGTCTAACACAATATCAATGAAGAAGAAAAATAACAGCTCTCAAAAGAAACTAGCATGGCTGCATAAAGAACTCTAATAAATTTAAAGAAAAAAAGGGACATAACTAAATCAGATTATCAACAAAGAGCCCATGCCTGCAAAGATGACGTGTGGAAAGTAAATGCTTAAAATGAACTAAGGCTTATGACAAAAGTCAAAAATAACAAAAAAGCTTCTTTCAACATGTAAAAAACAAGAAAAAAGTCAAGGAAACGATTGATCCATTAATGGGAGAATGTGGCAAGAAGGTGACAAGCAGCAGGGAGAAAGCAGAACTGCTTAACTTGTTTTTTGCACAAAACTCCTCCTTTACACAAAAGGAAAAAACAATCCAACCTATCAAAAACAATACCATAAAAATCTGATGAGGAATGTAAGTTAAAATAGGCAGCAACATACAAGGCATACTCTGTGATATTTATTACCGGCTTCGCTGCACTGAAGCAGCGAAGCACTTCTTAGTGCTCGCGTGCTTCAGCTCAACCGCAGAGGCGCTGGAGAACGGTTTTCCCACTCGCGCCATTTTGAAGATAAATGGCCGACCGCGGAGGCGCTGAGGGCTTTTGCCTTTCCCGTGCCTAACTTCAAAGGACTCATTGAGCCACATCGGCACGGAGGAACGGAGTGAGTTCCTGTGCCATTTTTGGGGGCAACTAGCGAAGCGGCGCTTTAAGGGTAATCTTTTACTCCTACGCCTTGTATGCCGGTGATTCATCCACGACCATTTCGTGACTGGAATTTCTGCTGTCAACCAGCCATTTGACAATTGCCTGGCATATCTGCTGTAGTACACAGCAATCGCCTGTTGGGGGTATTAATTGTGGGTTGCGCTGAGGACATCTTTGATTTGCACCCTCCCCTCCCGCCATCTCCTTAAAAAAATACTAATAATACTAATAATAAAAAATAATACTCCTGCCATTTGGATTGCCTTTCCAGCATCATTCAATTTTCTTCCTGGCCTTTACCATCTGACCAATCAGCTTTATAACATGGCTGAGTCGGATCTGTCATCAGACATTGAACAGGCCTGTAGCCCCCCCCCAAGACACATACATATGTGAAGCATGCATCCAAAGGGACAAAAAAACCGCAACAAACATGCCTCTGGCGTGTCTAGGCCTTCAAGCACATGTCCACCCTAGACGAAATCAAATCACCAGGACCAGATGGATTACACCCCAGAGTTCTGAAGTAACTGGCAGATGTGATCTCAGAACAACTGAACTATATCTTTCAAAGATCCTGGAGCACTGGGGAATTATCAGAGGACTGGAAAAGAACTGAAGTAGTTTCCATCTTCAAAAAGAAAAAAAAAAGATCCAGGAAACCACAGACCTATCAGCCTCACTTCAATACCTGGGAAGATTCTGGAAAAGATAAGCAACAAATCAGCGAACAGCTAGAGCAGGGATTCCCAACTGGGGGTGTTTGCACCCCCGGAGTGTTTAAGATGATATTCCAGGGGGTGCGAAAACTTGAGTATAGAAGTTTCAAAATTATAGTGTATATGCATAATTATATGCATATAATTATTTACTTTTGTAAGGGGTGTGAGAATATATCAGAAGCGTTTTAGGGGTGCAGGGTATAGAAAAGGTTGGGAACCCCTGACCTAGAGGAAAACAAAGTCATAAACAAAAGCCAACATGGGTTTGTCAAAAACAGATCATGCCAGACAAAACTTATTGCATTCTTTCACAAAGTGACAAAATTGGTGGACCAGAGGAATGCTGTGGATATAGAATAGAATAGAATAACAGAGTTGGAAGGGACTTTAGAGGTCTTCTAGTCCAACCCCCTACCCAGGCAGGAAACCCTACACCACTTCAGACAAATGGTTATCCAACATATTCTTAAAAATTTCCAGTGTTGGGGCAATTCACAACTTCTGCAGGCAAGTTGTTCCACTTATTAATTGTTCTAACTGTTAGGAAATTTTTCCTTAGTTGTAAATTGCTTCTCTCCTTGATTAGTTTCCATCCATTGCTTCTTGTTCTACCCTCAGGTGCTTTGAAGAATAGTTTGACTCCCTCTTCTTTGTGTCAACTCCTGCCATATTGGAACACTGCTATCATGTCTCCCCTATAATTTACTTGGGCTTCAGTAAGGCATTTGATAAAGTAGACCACAACCTACTACTTTATAAAATAGAAAAATGTAGGTTAGACAGCATCACGATCAGATGACTTTGTAACTGGCAGACCAATCGCACTCAACGTGTAGTCCTCAATGGAACTGCATCTACATGGAGGGAAGTATGCACTAGGGTATCCCAAGGCTCTGTTTTAGGCCTAGTACTCTTCAACATCTGGAAGACGTTATTTGGATGAGAGGATCAATAATTTGGATGAGAGGATAGATGGGGAACTTATCAAATTTGCAGACAACACCAAGCTGGCAGGAATAGCCAACACTTGAGAAGATAGGTTTAAGATACAGAAAGATCTTGACAGACCGTGGGCGCTATCTAACAATTATACAAGAAAAACCAAATGCACAGGTATAGTGTAGGTCCGTGATGGCGAACCTATGGCACGGGTGCCACAGGTGGCACGCGGAGCCATATTGGTGGGCACGTGAGTGTTGCCCTAGCTCAGCTCCAGCGCGCATGCGCGCACCAGCCAACTGATTTTCAGACCTTCCGGTCCCACCGGAAGTCGGGAAACTGGCTGTTTCCGGCCTCCGGGGAGATGGGGAAGGCTGTTTTTGCCCTCCCCAGGCTCCTAGAAAACCTCTGGAGCCTGGGGAGGTGGAAAAACAGGCCTAAAGGCCCACCATGTCATTGCATGCTAAAAGCAGGGGGAAGTGTGTGTGGGGGTCCCATGCACATGTGCGGGAGGGCGTGGCCCATTGAATTATGGATGTGGGCACCCGCACCCGTGACCCCCCCATTCTCCCCCCGCTTTTGGCACGCGACGGCAAAAAGGTTAGCCATCAGTGTAGGTGGTACCTGGCTCAATAGTGGTGACTGCGAGAGATATCTTGGAGTCCTAGTAGACAGTCGCTTAAATATGAGCCAGCAGCGTGCTACAGCTGCCAAAAAAGTCAACACAGTTCTAGGTTGTATTAACAGAGGGATAGAATCAATATCATGTGAAGTGTTAATACCACTTTATAATGCTTTGGTAAGGCCACGCTTGGAATACTGCATCAGTTTTGGTTGCCACAATGTAAAAAAGATGTTGAGACTCTAGAAAGAGTGCACAGAAGAGCAACAAAGATAATTAAAGGACCAAAGGCTAAAACATAATGAATGGTTGCTGGAATTGGGTATGTCTAGTTTAATGAAAAGAAGGACTAGCAGTGACATGATAGTACTTGTCCAATATCTCACGGGTTGCCACAAAAGAAGAGGGAGTCAAGCTATTCTCCAAAGCACCTGAAGGCAGAACAAGAACCAATGGATGGAAACTAATCACAGAGAGAAGCAACCTAGAACTAAGGAGTAGTTTCCTGACAGTTAGAACAATTAATCAGTGGAACAACTTGCCTCCAGAAGTTGTGAAGGCTCCAACACTGGAAGTTTTTAAGAAAAGATTGGACAGTCGTTTATCTGAAATGGTATAGGGTTTCCTGCCTGAGCAGGATGGTTGGATTAGAAGACCTCCATGGAGCCCTTCCAACTCTTTTATTCCATTATTCTGCTATTCTGCTTACTACATGCCATATGGTTAATCATGTGACTAGTTTATTTATTTTGTTGGTTTATTTAAAAGACTTAAAAACACAACTGTTAAGTGGCTTACAACAATAATAAAAACTATAGTAATAGAAATGATAAAATCATGCCTCAGCCATTCTTGTCTGGTGCAGCCAAAAAAAAAAAAAAAAACAGTCCTGGCTATCTAACCTTATATTGTCCCAATCTTGGGCGAAGAACCAGCATAGCTTTAGAGATATAACATCCAGTATCATTCTCTTTGGCCCAATTCAATGCCCATAAGAATGTTGTGAAGGATATCATAAGCCATTGAAAGATCCATTAGGATCAAAAGAATCATCCTTTTTTGTCTTTTTTTTAAAAAATGTTTTTTAACCCTAACCCTAACCACTTTCTCATGCTTTCACTACTCCCTGAATCTGCCAGACCCTAGGCTGGCTCAAATGAATGAGATCCACATGGATGAGGTCAAGAGAACAGGTGAAGGGACTGCTTTAGCATTAAAATATTTAGACTTCATATTTTGAACAATCATAATGTATGAGCAATCCCATACATTACCATCACATAGTGTACCGGATACCTGTGTTTACTGTAATGAAGCCAATTTGTGCAAATGCCTTGTAGTATCTGTCACTTGAATGTTTTTTATGAACTCTAACATTAGGTTTTATGAGACAGATAACAATTTATATAAATATGTAATATTCATAATACTTGAGTATTGCTAACAAAGAGGATAATGAATAGTGTATTTATAGTTCTATCAGTACAATTTAGAAAAGTTGCAATGTATATAGGACAATTTAAGCACTTTTATGTTGCATGAAAAGTATTGGTAATTTTATTGATATTTCTCTGATTGTACAACACTTATTTAACATGTAAAGATTAATAATTTAAAAATAAATTATTTTTAAATAAAAATAAAACATTAAATAGGTTTATATCTTAATGTGATAAAACCATTTCCGTATTATTATTTTTTAGAGCTGTGATAAGTGATCCAGAGCAAAATGGAAATTCAGATATTTATAAAATGGCTCCTATTCTTCCTGGATTAAGAACAGCACCTCTGCGCTTTAGAAAAAGAACATTACATGAAACAAAGTAAGAAATGTTATACTATATTGCTTTATGGATAATGTCCCCAAAATTATTTCATTATGAATCTTTCATTAATTTCAGATTGTGCACCTAAATGAAATCTGTTTTTTGTAATAGTAATGTTTATCTAACAATGGTTTTTAGCTCTTTTTAAAACTTTCATGCATTTCACTATATGTTTAAATTATAATGTATTACTCACCATTTTATAGACATGAAATAAATTAAAATACTATTGCTCCCATGAGCCAAGAAGGCCTATGATTAATAGTTTCATTATTTGTAGCTCATGCCTTTATGCAATTCATTTGTAAAATATCTACTGTTATTTTGGAGCATTTTAATCAGGGGTGAAATGCTCCCAGTTCGGACCGGATCACCCGATCCAGTAGCGATGGCGGCAGGTGGTTCGGAGAACCGGAAGCAAAAATCCCTGCCCCTACCTTACCCCCATGCCCAGCTGAGCCGTGTGATCATCAGAGGCTTTTTGTTTTACTTTTAAAAGCATTTTTTCTTCGGCCGAAAAAATGCTTTTAAAAGTAAAACAAAAAGCCTCTGATGATCGCGCGCCTCAGCTGGGTTAGTCAGAGCCTTATGTAGAAAAAATGCTTTTAAAAGGCTCTGACGATCCCATCTGAGTTGCCTGATCGTCAGAGCCTTTTAAAAGCATTTTTTAATAACCTTTTTTCTTTTAAAAGCAAAAAAAAAAAAAAGAAAACAAAAAGAAAACAAAAGCCTCTGACGATCAGGCAACTCAGAGGGGATCGTCAGAGCCTTTTAAAAATGCTTTTAAAAGTTAAAAAAAAAAAGTTGGCCACGCCCACTCAGTCACATTACTTCCCCACCAAGTCACGCCCACAGAACTGGTAGTAACAAATTTTACATTTCACCATTGATTTTAATCAACTAGGATGCAATGCATTTTTTAAATTAAAAAAGAAAATAAGGAAGACCTAATAGAAGTTTATAAAGTTAAGCACTATAATGAAATTAAATAGGTAGCGGGTACTAGAACCTGGGATCATCCACTCACACTGAATGAAGGGGGATCTGCATAGTCAAAATGTTGTACTTAACATGAATATTTCAGATGTTCATCTATGAAATTAGCTGTCACATGAAGTGATAGACTCCAGCTTAATTTAAATTCATAGATGACAAAAGTGTCAAATTGCTATTAATCATGTGACATCTAAGTAGCATGCTTATAAAAACCAATTGTTCTGAAAAAGCTCAGAATAGTGCTTCCGATTAGTATTTAATTAGACATGGCTATAAATAGATTAATCATGGTTGGAAGCTGGATATGAGAATTAAATAGACTATTAATTCCAGCTCCTTTGTATGTTCAATTGTTTTTATATCTGTTTTTATAAAATTGTAGTCCCCCATCTAGAATTTAATATGCTCGCTCTGAATCTCTATTTAAGGTATGTGATTTTTTTTCTAAAATGAGCTAATCAGGGATAGTGTTTCAGATATACTGTCACTGGGTCTAGCGATCCATATGTATAGTGCAGTCCATACAATGGTTATGTTGATTTTTGTTGGTGCATTGTTTTTACTTTGTTTATAGATTACATGTATATTTTTGTTTCATTGATTTTATGGCTTTTTGCTGTTTTAATAATAATTATTAATTTCCTATAGTCATGAGTTTGAGATGGGCAGTGATATAAATACAACTAAATTAATTAATTAATCAATCAACCTATCAATTAATTAATTAATTAATTTCCATTAGTTTCTTTTCTGGCTAGACTGAATGGTGATTGCTTCTTAGCACATTTAGAATAATAATTTAATGTTAATATATAATATTTGTGTAATGTCTTACTATGTCCATTCACCTATGTGTTCATGCAACCAAGAACTAAGCTTTCCTAAAATGTTCTATGAATGTATTAATTGCTGTGACTAATTTTGTAAAAATATCACTTTTTTATTGAAATTATGAATTATGTGCATATGCACATATTGTATTAAATAAGTAGAATCAACTTTACTGCTAATAGTACTGAGGTACATAGTTTCAATCATTAGTAAGATTTTGTTTAGCATTGATATCTGCTAGAAAGACTTGAAAAGGCTTCAGATTCTTTAAGATACCACTCATAAGCAGTGAAAATATACATAATTCTATAGTTCCAGTGAAATATATAAACCTGTATAGTATTTTAAGATTATTTGTAGTGGTAGTAATCAGAATTTATGTTTTGTCTTTGCTGAATCTTTTCATGATAACTCTATTGAACTCTTCATGAACATGTATATTCTACAAGCAGTTGGCATGCAAAATGACTTGTTTTACTTGCATAATACATGATATTATATATGTGTCTTACAGAATTAAGACTAGGTCAGCACTGACGGAAAATATGCTTTCTAACAAATTACGGTTTGATGGCAGATTAATATTAAGGTATGCGTACAAAACTTTTAAATATTGTTTTCTATTCAGAAGTTGCTACTTCCATAACCACATTTTAGTGCAATTGCTTTCCAATACAATAACATGGCAATATTACAGTTTACATTAGACTTTCATTCAATGTTATTTATACCTCATGGTGATCTTCTGTATGCATATTTTATGAAATCATAATCAGGTGCTAGCTAGACTGATGATAAAATGCTGACTTCCCGGTGTATGCAGGATGGATAAACTAGTAAATAGTATTGTTGTCCTTTAATTGATTGTTGTGGATCTTGTGAATACAATAATTTACTCTGTTAATCTTTCCCCCTTATGTCATGATCCAGCAGTGTGATCTATCGCAGCAATTGTTGGTCAAAATTATTTTTACCTTAAATCAGGGGTGAAAGTCAAAAATTTCCCTACTGGTTCTGTGGGCATGGCTTGGTGGGCATGGCAGGGGAAGGATATTGCAAAATCTCCATTCCCACCCCACTCTGGGGCCAGACAGAGGTGGTATTTGCCAGTTCTCTGAACTACTCAAAATTTCTGCTACCGGTTCTCCAGAACCTGTTAGAATCTGCTGGATTTCACCCCTACCTTAAATACTAAATACTAAAATATGTGATGTTTGGTCCTTAGATCTGTTAAATGGGTGGAGCTTTGAGGCACTGAAAGTAGAGCATTTATAGATAGTGGGCTTATTTGGAAATAACATGCATTCCCCCGTTCTCATATTTTGATCAGGATTAGTGGAGAACTCTCAGCAGAAGAACACATTGGTTAAATTTATATTACACAGACTGGAGTAATATGAGGTTTGCTTAAAATGTAATATTTTTTCTGTCTGCTTGGTAGTTAAGGATTCATTCTGCTTTTTAAAAAAGAAATCTAATCCTTTTTTTTCCATTATAGAAATGGACGTGATGCTTGTCGAGAACTGATTGGATTTTACTTTACTTGTGACAAATCTTTAACTATTTATGAATATCGAAAGTTTGGTAAAAATAGGTATACACACACATATATATATATGTAAAAGTCTTCTCAGAATTTTATTTAGCCATTAATACTTAGTAAAATCACTTCAAGGTTTTTTTTTTTTTTTTAATTTCATGCAGGACAAATGCTCTACCATTCATTCTGAAGGGTGTTTATATGCATCAGCGTGGACCGAAGAAAGGAAAACCATACTGTCTTAATGATTTCTTTGTTGTAAGTATTGTTGTAAGTCCGGAGGAGGAAAGTATGAGCAACTTTTTGGGTCCAGAAACTGCATGATTGCTTGGTAGTGGGTTTGAGGCATGCAGGTATATGAACAAATGAAATGGTCGTGCAGGGTAAAGAGAAATACTGTTTTTACAGGACTAAGGTGAGAAAATACTTTTAAAAATGTATCACTGGTTCAGTTTTGTTTCTAGAGGCTTTTTGAGCTGGAAGAAGAACAGAACCTTCCTCATATTAAGGAAGGATGGTGTTCCCTCCCTGTAAATGGGCTAAGAAGATTGTGATGGTCTTGAAAATGTGAATATGCTACAAATAATCCCTTATCTTGTTGTGATTCTGCTTGAAATAATTGAATATGAACAGGTCAAAAGCTATTTATTTTCAGTGATCCTGACCAAAATCTACTCTACCTGTGTTAGAACTTATCTTTTCCCCACTTGTACAGTCACTAGGTCATGTCCGATCTTTACTATCCCATGGATCATAGCATTCCAGGCTCCGCTGTCCTCCACTGTCTGCTGGAATTTTCCCAAATTCATGTTCATTGTATCAGTGACACTATCAGATCAGTGACATCTCATCCTCTACTGTTCCCTTCTCCTTTTACCTTCGATCTTTCCCAACATCAGGGTCTTTTTCAAAAACTCCTCTCTTCTCATTAGATGGCCAAGTATTTGAGTTTCAGCTTCAGTATCTGTCCTTCCAAAGAACACTCAGGATTGATTTCCTTTAGGATTGACTGATTTGACTTCCTTGCAGTCCAAGGGACACTTAAGAGTCTTCTTCAGCACCACAATTTGAAAGCATCAATTCTTCAGCTCTTTAGCCTTTCTTATGGTCCAACTCTCAAAACTATACATCAGTATTGGGAAAATCATAACTTTGACTATACAAACCTTTGCTGGCAATGTGATGTCCTTGCTTTTAATAGCTTTCCTCCCAAGGAGGAAGTGTCTTTTAATTTCATGGCTGCAGTGACCGTCTGCAGTGATCTTGGAATCCAGGAAAATAAAATCTGTCTCTGTTTCCATTTCTTCTCCTTCTATTTGCCAGGAGGTGATGGGACCAGATGCCATGATCTTAGTTTTTTTAATATTGAGTTTCAAGTCAATTTTTGCACTTTCCTGTTTCACACCCATCAAGAGACTCTTTAGTTTTCTCTTCACTTTCTACCTTTAGAGTGGTATTGTCTGCATATCTAAGGTTGTTGATACTTCCCCTGGCAATCTTAATTTTGGCTGGTGATTCATCCACCCCGTCATTTTGCATGATGTACTCTGCATATAAGTTAAATAAGCAGGGTGACAATATGCAGCCTTGTCATATTTATTTGCCTATTTTGAACCAATCAGTTGTCCCATGTTTTAGTTTTAATTGTTGCTTCTTGACCCACATACAGGCTTCGTGGGAGACAGTTAAGGTGATCTGGTACTCCCATCTCTTTAAGAATTTTCTATAGTTTGTTGTGATCCACACAGTCAAAGGCTTTAGCATAGACAGTGAAGCAGTAGACGTTTTTCTGGAACTTTCTCCATAATTCAGCAAATATTGGCAATTTGATCTGTAGTTCTTCTGCCTCTTTGAAACTTAGCTTGTACTTCTTCCTTCTACTAACTGCTAATTAAATTTATTTCAAAGGGCATAGGCAGTAATATCCAGAATATTGTGGGCTGGTTTAAGATTGTCAGTAATGGGTAGGCAATGATACTTTATTTTCAATTGTTGCTTTCATTTTTTTCTTGAATATTTTCAGTGTTCATTGTTAGATGGATTATTAATATGACCTGTTTTTCAAACCATGATTTAATATACTTTGAGAATGCAGGTAGATATTTTTATCTGATTACATTGATCAAATCCACAACTAAAATAATGTTCAGAAAGGGACTTCCGGTTGGTGACTTGCAGCGACAGGGTGTGGAGTGAGAGCTCGCTGCTCCTCAACACCTTTAAACATCGCGTTTTGGGGATCCCCTTGGGGGACGCGGGACCCGGAGAGCCCTGCGGGCAAAAGAGGAAGCCAGGCAAGCGGGAAGTGGGTGCGATCACCTCTCGCTGGACCAGGCGGCTCTGCCTAGCCAACGCGGTGAGCCGGCCATTGATGGCGGGCACGAAGCAGCAATAGCCAACAAAGACGGGAAGCTAAGAAGAAGATCGGAGGTGCGGTGACAGATTTAAGCCTATTCCCCTATACCTACGATCGTGCGGCAGAGAGGGGATCGGTGGTGTCGGGAGAGGAGTGCTCAGAGCGGCGAGAGGCAGAGACGGAGAGGGTGGAGCAGCTTGTACTCCCGGCGATCCGACAAGCCGAAGAGCAGACGAGAAAACGGGGAGAGCGGATTGCGTTTGTAAGGAGCTTTGGAGAGTGCGGTGCGGTGAGAGAGTAAAAGAAAAAGGAAAGACTATTGGTGTGGCTGGCTTTTGGTATTGGGATTGAGTGGAAGAAAGCAGAAGAAATAGGCTTTCAGCAAACAGGAAGTGCTTCCATTGAATCGGAAGAGTGGAACAGCAGAGGTTGAACAAGAAGACGCTCTGGCAGAGACTATTACCATCGAGTTTGGTTGGAGCCCAGCAAAGTGGGAAATTGAAGATCTCCTATTTGTATTCTAAAATTCCGTAAATACTATAAATACTATAAAACAATATACTTATACCCATATATTTATATGTCTATATCCTTCCTATCCTTCTCTTGAGTATCTGTGATATTAATAAGTGAACTCTGTTTTTCTCTCTAACTTTATAATGTTATAATTAATATTAATTAGACCTCTTAAGCCATTTTATAGATATATACCAAAAAAAAAAAAAAGGTTGATTATATATGAGAATTTAGATCTCTATAATTATTACTAGTTAAGGGGGGAAAAAAGGGTTGGATTTGTATCTTACTAATTAAATTATTATATAGGATTTTATATTTATTTATATTTATTGTAATTTATTTATACCTATTTATACTTATTTATATCTATTATATCTATTTATATCCAACCTTTATTAAGATCTGAACTTAGAATTTATTAGTTCATTAACTTATTGTGGTCAACTTATATAATTTAGAATATCTATCTGTATTTATTTATATCAATACTACCTATCAGGAACTGAAAATAGAATTTATTAACTTAAAATAATTACTTGTATTGCTAGCCTTTAACAATTTATATATATTATTTACTCTTTTCTAAGATTGAATTTAGATTTTACTAAGTGATTAATTGATTTGTATCGATATTTTGTTTACCTATTTGGAAGAGAACTATATAATTGTATAATTAGTGATTGTTAATTGCTGGAAACTTTATAGTAGCCCACTACAGTACTTTGGAAATTTAGAACCTAGTATTAATTAGAACTTACTGAGAGTGCAGAGAGGACCAATAAAGGAGCGAAATAAAGGTCTAAGAAAGCTCCTCAGAGAAAACGTGGCAAGTGCCACTGGATGAGAATTTGGAGAAAGATAGAGGAGATAATAAGAGACCAAAAATTGGTTCTGAAAGAAATGGCAAGTCTGACCTCCACAATTGCAAAAACTGCTAAAAAAGCGACATCTATACCTACCTTGGCGATGTCTTCCCCAGCCACCCAGAAATCAGTAGAAGGTCTCCAGAAACTAGACAAACCCCCTATAACTCCTACACTACAAACGGTACAAGCATCCCTTCAGTCAATCCAAGAAACAATGCTTGCGATGCAAGAAAAACTTTTGAATAGTCACTCCGAATTAAAATCAGACATCCATGCTCTTGATTTTAAAATGAATGAGATTCAAACTGCTATTGCTAGTAACGAAAATAGAATTTTAAAAGCAGAACAAAGAATTGAAAAAAACGAGAAAAAACTGGACACAGTAGACCAAACTTTGTCGGCACAAAACAAAGAAACGGAAGACGCGCTGATCCAACTTGAGATGGACAAGGCCTCGTTTTTCTTGCGTTTCCAGAACATCCTGGAAGATAAAGATGAGGATTTAGGTGATAAGATAGCGGAGTTGATTGCAGAAACTCTGCAGCAAGACAAGCAGGAAATAATTCGTGAGATCGATGAGGTGTACAGAGTCCAGACAAATTACGTAAGAAGAAACAGACTCCCCAGAGAGGTCCATGTGCGCTTTGCTAGAAAAAAAGTTAGGGATATTCTGTATAATATAGCGCGGGAGGAAAAAATTACCTACGGGGGAAAAGAAATTAATATTCTGAAACAAATTCCGAGAAGAGTGAGGGAAAGGAGGAGAAACTATAGGTTTTTGACAAATCATCTAAACAGGAGAAATATAATTTTTAGGTGGCTTTTGCCGGAAGGACTGCAAATTTCCTGGCAAGGGAGGAAAATAAGAATTGATTGTCTAAGTGATGCTCAAGACTTTTTAGAACAACTAAGGGGAGGAGAGGAGGAACAAACCAGTAAGGAGGATAATGAGATAGCAAATACGGAAGAAGAGATATCCCAAGAGCAAATTACTAGGGAAGACATAGAAGAGGAGAAGAAAAAGGAGGATACTGAGGAAAGAGGGAAAAAATCAAGGCCAGTGAGAGCAGTAACTTTAAAAGGTAAATAAGAACAAGAGTCTAGAAACTAATTTCAGGAATGAACGATACCAAGATCATATCGGTAAATGTGAATGGATTAAACGATTACAAAAAAAGAAGGATAATACTGTCGAAATTGGTGAAACAAAATCCCGATATTATCTGCATCCAAGAGGTCCATATAAAAAAAGATGAAGCCGAATATTTAAATTACTGTAAATTTGGTAAAGTATTTTCCTCACTAGCTGAGAAAAGGAAAAGGGGGGTTGCTATCTATGTTAAGAAAGGAATAACGGCAGAATGTAAATATAAAGATGAAAAAGGGAGAATACTCATAGTTGAAATAATGAGAGGTAACTCTAGACTGTTATTAGTAGGGGTTTATGCACCGAATAAAAAACAAGGGAAATTCTATAGGAAACTGCAGGAACAGTTGGCAAATTGGGCACATCTTGA